TCCCTGTAGACTGTCAGTTGAGTGACGATGTTCGGCTTGCTGAGAGCTCTCACAGCTTCCAGGTGACTGATGTGGGTCAGGTCGATGTTGTTTACCTGGATTGGTGGCGTGTAGTTTAAAATTTAAAATAGGTCAGACCGATGCTGACCGCCTGGATTTGTGTGAAATTAATTAAACTCTGAACTAGGTCAGGTCAATGTTGTTCCTCTGCCTTGCTAGAATGCAATTTAAAATTCAAATTAGGTCAAGCTAAGGCTTTGGAGCAAATTTTAAATTTAAATTTTATTAGGTCAGTGCCGCTTACTTTGACAGTTGTGGCTCAAATTTATAATTTAAATTAGGTCATGTCAATTGTATTATTATCATCATCATCATTGACGTAATGAAGTTATTATTGCTGTTAATGTCACCATCATCATCATCACCACCACCATCATTAACTTTTAAGACATTATCACCTCACCGCATGAAGAGTGGTCTGTAAGTAGTGCCCCCACAAACACACCATACACAATTACTCACGCTCACACGCACACACACACAAACACACACACACAAACACATCACAAACACACACACACACAAAACATACATGCATACGCAGACCGACACATAATAACTAACAACTTTTACACACCGGAACAAAGAGAAGCATAACGAAATGAACACACATACATAATGAGGTGAGCACACAAATAAGAAGTCAACAAACAAACGAATGAGAACGAAATAATTATTACAACGCATTAATTAATCACACACATGAATAAATCGTTTCCACGCAGGCATGCATGGAACTGCAGAAAACAAACACGCCAAAAACAGGGAAAAGAAAATTTTCATTTATATAGCACCTTGTTTATAATTTCAGTAGCGTTTTTGTGGTAATCTTTGTACGAGTACAGTACATAGCACAGGCACATGACAAGAATCATTTTGCATTTGAACACTGACAAAACATACCGCTAGCCCGCCACTTTACCATTACGCCATCTTGCCTGTATGATGGCGTCTACAGTTGTAATTTGACGTTTGAAGAAGAAAAAATTTGTAATAAAACACAAAATGAAAATAAATTGAAATTTAATTTTTTATAGAATGTCAAGTTGAAATTTGATGAACCCTCTCTAAAGATACTGGAGAGATTGAATGATGGAAGATTAATAAATTAATGAAGCAAATTTTTTGAAAACAATTGTGACTCAATGGTTGATGAAATGTTTAAAAGCCTAAAAAATCATAATAACTGTCAGACCATTTTTCCAACATGTTTAAATTTTTATCTAATATATTTTTAATGAAATAAAATAGTACGTACAAAAAATGGCACACGCACACGCACGCACACACGCACACACGCACACACGCACAGACATACATGTACATGTACTCGCACACACTCACACGCACATTAACATACATTAATACACTCACATGTGCCTATCATGTACAAAGGTAAAGAATTAGCATAATAACACACGCATAGATACGTCTTATACATCTACAGTACGCAAACATGAGATAAATGCACAGACGTTTACACATACACATACGTAGACATACACACACTTAAATACACACACTTTTGTACACACACACACTTGTACACACACACTTGCACACACACACACTTCTACACACACATTGACACAGGCACGTAGGAACAGACAGATAAAAGTGTGGCCATTATGAAGAGCATTCTGGTGCAAGTGTATTTTTAACTGGGTATTTGAAAGCATGCAAGCAAACGTCAGTCACATCATTTTGTTGAGGTACTGGCTCTGATTACGTCATCAACACCTTCATCGTCATCGTTTTCATCGTCTTCATCGTCATCGTCATCACCATCTATGTTAACAACATAATAATCGATTTTTGTTATCGCTATCATAGTCGTTGTGATTATATCATCCACAACATCACTCTCTCCATCATTATCATACGCATCAGCATCGTCGTCATCATTACAGCATCACAATCATAACTACTACTATCGTCACAGTTATCTTTGATACTATCATCATCATCATCATCATCACGGTCGTCAGCCTCGTTTTTCATTTATCACCTACAGCACTGAAAATGATGTACATGTATTGACTTAAAGAAAATAGCTTATAAATCTCTATTACATTTATCGTTTAAACTCTACAGAACAAATGTTACAATGTACGATTAGGAGTCATTTCTTCAATGGTGAACTACCTTCTACGTGCAACTTGCAACATATGCAAGGAGTCATCCGAAGCAACATCATTTAAAGAGGGATGAGATATGTATCATATTCAACTTGTTGTTTTTATTACTCTTTAAAGGAAAAATATTATTATTACTATTACCACTATTACAACAACAACAACAACAACAACAACAACAACAACAACAACACAACAACAACAATAACAACAACAACAACTACTACTACTACAGAAACAACAACAACAGAAACAACAACAACAACAACAACTACTACTACTACTACTAATGCTGATACTTTTTTTCTATTTCTACTATTACTATTACTGCTACTAACACTGTTACTACTTACTGGTGTTGCTGCAACTGCTACTACTACTACTACTACTACTACTAATAACAATAATAATAATAATAATAGTAGTAGTAGTAGTAATAATAATAATAATAACGTGATGATGTTGATGATGATATATGCTGTTAGAGAGTTATGATAGAAGACTCGCTGGCTACGTTTAAATAAAGGTTAAAGGTTAATCTCTCTCTTTTGCGTTTGCTTCAGAGGTTTCAACGACAAACACACGCAGCGTGCAGACCACGCATCATACACATTGCATATGATAGCCGGGGATCTCTTTGTATTCGAACCCAGTCGTTGCAATAGCAAAACCAGGCGCCTTTAAACATTGTGCCATCATGCCACCCAAATACATTGGCACACTTTGCTCAAATTATTATTTCCATCATTATGATTGATATTATGACAATTTCATCATTGTAGTACTCGTGTGGTCGTCGTCAGAGTGAGTGGGCAGGAGGGAGGACACTCACCACACACTCCAGATACATTATCATGACAAACAAGGCAAACATAGTCAACTATTTACAACCATTTCTGAAGTGTATGCACGTGTATGTGTGTGTGGTGTGTGCGTGCATGCGTGTGTGTGTGTGTGTGTGTGTGTGTGTGTAAAGAACGGCAAACAAACGTTTGAGGTGCATAATTGAGTTTAATGGACGCCATCAACTTCCGCTGTCAAACGGAAATGGATGGTGAACATTTTGTTTCCGGTATTTTTTTGTCACAAATTCTTTTAAAAATAAATTATATGCTCCTCAAAGATTGAGATATTTCTTGTGATGGTTTTAATTCATGGCTGTTTTCTTGTGGCAGTGCCAAATGTGGTTTTAAATTTTTTTATTCTTTTCAGAATGAAAAAGTTTCAAACGATTTAAAAATATACACTACTGAACATTTTTGATAAAATTTTCTGAATTTTTTAGTTTGTAGCTATTTTTTCAAAGCTATTTTGTAGCTACTGTTTCAAAAATAATTTTATCGGGTGCAATTGCATCAGAGACTCATGAACGGTAAGCATGACAAACACACTTGAATGTCTGCGTTTCAGGTTGAAGTGCATTCACTAGTGTACATTGTTCATTTTGCCTGCATACGAATACCCCGATTTTGTCATAACCACACATACAAACGCATACACAGGCACACAAACACACCAACACTTACAGAAACTCAAATACATGCAAGCATATGGTTTCAAAGAGTTTGATAATATATGGAAGCAGCATGCATACATGGGACAACATGGAACATATGCTTGCAAAGAAGACACGTCTCCCTGCATGATTGATCGCACGTTTATATCCCTCTCTCTCCCTCTCTCTCGCCATTTTACTCTCTCTTTCTCTCTATTTCACTTTTTCTCTCTATTGTTTTACACCCTTCTTTTTTCTAATTTTTCTGTTTTTCTCTCATTCTCGGTTTCTTTCAAAATATTTTTTTTGCTTGTGCCTATATACGTATACACTCACATCGGCCTTTTTGATTTGATTTCCTTCAAATGTTGGTCAAATGTTAGTGATTTAAACCAAAAGTTTGCAAAAAAAAACAAGCCTATAATTAAGCAGATGCAGAAAATGTTGAAAGCAAGATGTCATGCAGACGATGATGTTAACAATGATGTTCCTACTCACATCACGCAAACTCTCAGGTCATCATCACTCTACGATGCACTGTGTCACATAAACGTTTGCTGATGACGTAACAACTTCAGTGGCGGATCTAAGGGGGCCAGGGGTGGCAATGTTCTTTTCCATTGTCGGCGTTAGTTGTGCTAAAAGTTAGTGAAAGTGGTTGTTATAACGGAAAAAGTGGTGTTTTTGAAGGAAAAATTGACATTAGCAGAAAAATTTGTCTCTGCCTCACGCTGAATATTGAAAAATTTTCTGGAACAACTTGTGGAACTTCCCCTCTCGGTCATCAACTTTTTGTTAAAATTTCCACCCCCAGGTTCCCGGTCAACAACTCATATTTTGAAAATTTCCCCCCGATCATCGATTTCTCGGTTTTTACCCCTCCTCCCTTTGGCCTCCTTTTACCCGTCTGAGTTGTCTGGATCGGCCACTGGATGCAATACCAACTTGCTTCAAATAACACAAATAAATAATAATGCTTCTGCAATTTAGTATAAAAATCTGATGGATAAATAAATTTGGCTTTTGAGGAGCAATTTTTTTGGATTGCATTTTGTGCAGATATTAAAAAAAGTTGAAAAAATCGTTGCTGCCTGGTTTAAGTAGCCTGGTAAGTTATGGCGGGAAGTGGGATGGAGTAATTAAGATTCAAGAGAGGCAGGTTGGAGAGGGAGGAGGAGGAGAGGAAGGTGGATACGTGATCACAAATCAACATAAGTTGGTCGCCGTTGAACGTTCAACTGAAATTTATTGCACTTTCAACCGGATATGAAATCGTCGTTTTAACAGGCCTGCATGCGCCGGAGTTTCTATTACATATTCCGCTTTGGTACGAAAGCAATAATTTTAAATTCTGCTTTCTGCAGCTTGTGATATTGTTCTGACAATTCTTTCCACAACTTCGAAACTGGAGCTTTTCTGTTGGGCTGGGGTGAGAATTCAGATTATGCAATTCCATGCTTTATACTATTGCTTAGAATTGACGTTTCAATTAAACATTTTCCATAAAACACTTGTTTGATAAATGATATTTTGTAAGCAATAATAAACATGCAACAAGGTTTGCCATTATTAATTAATTATTAATAATATTAATTATTTGTGGAACTGACAAAAACATTTTGCGCAAGAAATAATAAACGAAGTTAATGGAGTAAGAATGTTTTATTTATTGCGTGCAGAAATATTTCTCGATCGGCAAATGTTGATGTTTGCTTTGTGCGGTCACGTTTCACTCTCCATTTGAGAGTAACACTCCAAACACGCATGCCTGCAACCATATTTGCTTGCATGCATGAATGAATGGGTGCATGCATGCATACATACATTCATGCATGCAAGTACATGTATGTGTTTAAACATGTGTTCATGAACATAATGTATTGAGTAAATAAATGAAAATAGGAGTGAATGAATATATCACAGCATACACTTAAACACGCGTTTGATTTTTAAGTGTGTGTTTATATATGAATCATGCAAGTTTACATGTTTATATGTTCGCATTCATTCACTCATGTGAATGCGAACATATAAGAAATGAATGCATTCCTAATGCATGCATGTAAAAACACAATTCATATTATTTAATGGCTTGCCAACGTATGGAGCTTGTTGGATGTGTTTGTTCCGAATCATTATAATTGACTCCATGGCAAATAGATTTGAATATCTCCTATCGACCAGCAAGCTAACAATGCCAGCAGCAAATTAAAAAAAATTTATTTATTTCAAATTGAAATGTTGCATATTAGTTTTATACTTAAGAACAATCTCAATTAGTTAAGAAACAATGTAAATTAAATATATTTGACAACAATTTTAATATTTAACCGTATGACACAAGTTGCAACATTGCTTAGAAACATGAATGTGAACATTTGCAATATGAATCAAATGTTAGAAAAAACGCACTTAAAGTAAAGCATTAAGATGTATAAATTCATAGTCAAATTTGCTTCAAGATCAGCTGCGGTCTTACAATTAAAAAAAATGTTCTCGTTAATTCATGCTTTCGTCAAATTGACACACATGCCGTTGTGTCAATTTTTGACGTCACAATCAATTTGACCGTGTGTCAAAAAAATTTCAAAACTTTCTTGCTGAGTTGCATTTAGAAAGTAGATTCAACATCCTAACGGAAACCGTTTGGAAAAGTATGTTTGAAACTGAAGGCTTTACATTTTTTGTTTCAGGCTAGCACACGAGCGTATTAAATTTTTAAAATATTTCAATTTTATTCTCAAAAATTAAAAAAACTTAAAGCCAATTATTTCGCATATCAACATGCCTCCAGTTGACTGGTTTAATTAACTGACGCAACATTAGCGCATGCAATTAACGATAAAAAGCATTGTTAAAGTTGAAACCATTAGGTTGCCTAGAAACACTTGTGATGGAAAAGTTTTTCAAGCTTCCAAAAGTTAAAATAAATGTACGTAGGACATAACGAGCGGGTACTGGAATATACTTTTCGGTGCACATGTACCCTACATATATGCACATACGATGCAAACTCATACACATTCATATTCATATACACACACACACACACACACACACACACATATATATATATATATATATATAAACACAAACACATGCAAATTCAGACACGTTCATAAGCAGTAAACGATCCTATGTACTTTATTTTTAATAGCTTGGTTACAATTAAAAATTGCATATACATTTCCACATAAATCGGCACATACATTGTCACATACACTGGCACATACATTAGCATGTGCATTGGAACATACACTGGCACATACACTGAAACATACACTGGCACATACACTGTAGCATACACTGACACATACATTAGCACGTGAATTGAAATTTACACTGGCACATTGGAATAAACACTGGAGCATACATCAGCACGTAGGGTGACATCTTGAAAGTTGCTGTTGGTGGTTTTTACTGATCATTGACTGGACTTAACTGCGTGCATCTATGGCCAATAAAACAGGAACAATGCTCTTCTCGGCGGTACCAATGTTCTTACTTTATAGCCTACGTTATTTTCTCTTCGTTACGCGGTGCAAACAAATTAACACAAATACTCAGTGGCAGCTGAAACACGAAAGCTGGCAGTCTTAAGATAAGAAGAGGTATTGTGTTTGAAGAGCAAAAAATAGATTTACGTAACCATCATTATACCATTACTATAATATTATTCACAAATCACACAACATTTACAAAAGAAGAACAGACATAACTTTTTGAGCATAAAAACGATCTTTGACAATGGTATGAGGTAGCAGAAGAACACTGCGGCAGTGTTTATAGATTTCAAACTTATACTTATTCAGCACACACTTCAACAACATCTCGTTTCGCAGGAGCCTGAAATGAATCTGCCAGATGTACTGTACTCATTTCGAAGTTGTCCTGCCTCCGCTGCAGTGGTCTATAGCTGAATAAAATCTTCATTAACGCGCAGCCGAAGGCCTTCAACGAGGCGATAAAACAATTCAATGGCCCAATTTTAAATAATTAAACATTTTTTTAATTTATTTCTCCATCAATTTGATTATAATTATTTTGTTTTTTTTTCTCTACTAAATATGTTCATCAAAGTTTTTTCTGAAATCTTCAATTTTTGAAGTTTCATTTAACGTACAACTCGATTTGAATGTTGCTTTCAAACGTTCGTACAAAATTATTCATTCATATCAGGCATTATTTGAACATCTGCGGAAATATTTTTTGCATCAAAAAAAATAATTTCCTTAGCAAGAAATCAAAATCACTCAAAATAAGAAACACGGAATCTGCCGAAATATTTAGTAATTCTTACAATCCATTCAGCAGTTTCAGCGTCACCTAATAATGACAATTAATTGATCAGATGCTTCCATCTGTAAGAAAATAATGATGGAGCTATTTCTATTAAAGTATAAACGTGTTGTTATGAAATTAACTATTGAAACAAATTTAAATTCATTGCAATGTTACTGAAACTTTCAGGCGCCTTCTTCTTTTTTACCACCCAACTGTCACAACCTTCTTTGCCTTTCTACCTTCTGCTTACCATTATTTACAGATATACAGATAAACTCGCATACGCAAACACTTGCACAAAAAATTCACCATATGGAAACACTAACTTTAGGATAAAACAAGTGGGACACACACACACACAAACGTAGACACACACAACACAAATACACATGCACACGTAGACATACACAACACACACACATTTGTGGAAAAGTCAGAGACGTACTTGCAATATATGATCGCCAGGAGCGAGTCTGCCATCTCTGTATGCTGCTCCATTCTTGTGAACTTCCTGAACTACCACGCTCGTCTGAAATCAAATTTTTGGCTGTTTCAAGCTTTTGATTTATTCCTCTGTTTCATAAAAGTTTATATTTTACGTTTTTTGAAAGAATTTAATTTTATAGATGCTCATTTCTGTTTCATGAAATGTTTTCGGTATTCAAAATAGTAATTATTCAAAACTATTAGTACTCCGATATAATTTAAAATTTGTTAAAATGGTTTTTGACATGATAACAAAAACGAACGACAGCAATGCCAGGTAGGTCGAATTAGTTGAGGGCAACATGGAACTAAAGATACATTATAAATATTAACACGTAGCATGTTTTTGTGCTGATCTTGTGTTTTAAAGTGTGATGAAATAAGCAGAAATGAAGTAAGGACAATAAAATTTATAAATACAAAAATGATCACAGTGGAAGAATTTTATTTAAATCCCTTTCGTCAATCCAGCGCAACATAATCCAGTTATCAGTTGAGCGTCAATCCTATTTCAACGTGACAACTGCAGCGTTTTTGTAACGTCTTCTGTTTGTTTGTTTGTCTGTTTGTTTTAACTTTATCAGTTTGTTGCAGATGGTGTGTTGTACAAAGTGTGTTTTTTAAGGTTGCTATTGTTGCATGTGTGTGTGTGTCCTTTTACTGTTATTCTGATGTATGTATCGTTGTGTGTATACATTGTTGCATTAGTAGTTGTATGAAGGTGTTTCGATCAGTTAATTTCTGTAAACTGTATAGCGATATTTCTACAATGTTGAGTCTGCCTTTCATCTCAACGTGGAGTGCGTTGTGTTAAGTTGCACGTTGGCTGCAGCTCAAACTTCAATGAAGACGCGGCTGCGTTTGATTGGAGCTTAAATTGTCAAATATTTCGCTTTTATAAGTAATAAACCTCTGAAGATGGCCAATCACTTTTTCAATTTTAAAACTACAGCAAGTAGCAACGTAACTGACGCAATTTACTTGGACAACATTTTTCGTGAAGTTTTTTAAAAAGTTCACTAAGGGGATATGAAATAAATTGCAACAAATTGCGCAGATAAATTAATTTTTAAAATTTGAAACAAAACTCTCAGCCATGTTAATAAAATTTGAAGACCTATTAATTAATAATTATATTAAAATGATAACTCCATAACCATGAGCGAATGGAATTGAGTGACGTAACTAACAAAACCACTTCAAAATTGTAAATTGAACAAATGAATCTGACATGATGACTTATCACATACCGGATGAAGCAAAAATCAACTGCGACTGAAAGCAACAAACAGCAACAAGTGAAACCATCAGCACCCGCACGAAGCATCAACAACATACCACAAACCAGGCATAACAACGTAAAAGAATTGCAATTTAATACAATAGAAAACTAACGAGTGGAGTATCGATGCCACCAACAATGCTGATGCCCAAACATGAACTCTGACCTCTGTATATGTGCAGAACAGAAATACGATCTCTTAAATCAATAAATTTTTCTTCTGAAATTCTCATTTCTGATTGGTTGGTTGATCTGATCTTGGTACTTGATGATTGGTTGGTTTCTCCTGTTTGACCGTTGATCTGGCCTATATAAATTGGAGTAAGTAGGTCAGTAGGTCGTTGTGTTGATGTGCCAAATGCATTTTTGCTCTGCTCTACTGAGGATATAAGATTGAAAATCATGTGCGTTTGTGACGGTGTGTGTGTGCAGATGACCTTGCATCATTTTCGCCCATTGTGGAAGGTTCGAATGTAAAGAAAAACAAAAATTGTTTTGAAGCATGCGGTGTGTATGATGGTCACTGAAATGTCTGCTGACGGATTTGATCGTTCGATCAATTGCGTTTCTAACAGAAACATTATGCCAAACACATGTCTTTTGAGAGTTAGTTTATACTAACAGCTACTACATCAACCATAACATTATATTGTAATGCCAAATTTAATAAAATATTATTTAGAACATTCAGATCAGATGAAATGGTGAGTGAGATGTGATGATATGATGATATGATATGATATGATATATGATATGATACTCGTTACCTTTCTCATCATCATCGTCGTCATCGTCATCGGCAGCGTTGTATGAAGTTGAATGTGTTGCTTTGTTATTGCTTGCTTCACATGCTGTTGTTGACGTTGTGGTTGTTGTGGTTGATGTAGTAGCTGTCGTTGTCGTTGTTGATACCAATATGGAAGATGGTGATGATGATGTTTTTGTAGAGGATGGTAGTAGTGATGTTGATGATGTTGCATTTGAACAATTGCAAAAACATTCTTGTTGCTGCTGATGTTGTTGTTGTACTGGACACTCTGATGATATTTTGGTTACAAATGTTGCGTTAGATGTAAGAGGAATGTTATTGCCTTCCATGCTGTTGCTTACGCTGTTGTTTATGTTGTTGTTGTTGTTTATGCTGTTGAGGCTTGTGTTGTTGTTGGTTATGTTGTTGTTATTGCTGTTGTTTGCGATGGTGTTAATGCAGTTGTTATAGTTGGTTGATTTGTTTCTATTGATGTCGTTGATGTAGTTTACGTTATCTCCGTTGGTGATGCTCTGATGGATGTTGTTGATGTGGTTGTTGTTGTTGCTGGTACTGGTGATGAGATTTTTAGATCGACTCCCTTTGCATCTTAATTAATTATTAATGTTATAATTTTATAATACAATTAACAAGATGGAGATAATTTTTAGAACAAATATTGCTTTGATTTAGCATTAGATAAAAATAGCTACTACTATTACTACTACTACTGCTACTACCACTGCTGCTGCTACTACTGCTACTACTGCTGTTGCTTCTATTACTACTGTTAATAATAATAATAATAATCAAACCGACGGACACTGACCAACTGATATGCAAATATATAAATATAATACACTCATTTGCTTTTGAAAGATGATATAGCGAGAAGTGATTATTATTAAAATAATAATGCATATAATAATAATAATTATTATTATTATCATTAGTGTTTTTATTTGTAATATTAATAATAATAATTGTAATATTTATTTCTTTTTATTATTCTTCTTTTATGATGATGATCGTGACGAAAGATACGATGATGACGAAAACTGGAAATGATGACGATTAATAATGATGATAGAAGCAGTGATGATAATGATGACGATAGAAGCAGTGATGATAATGATGACGATAGAAGCAGTGATGATAATGATGACGACGACGATGAAGTTGGGAAATATGAATGACATGACACGATTTGAAAGAGACAAGCTAGCGGTAAATGGAAAGATCAAACCATCAAATTGGTAATAATGGCTATGAGGATGAAGATGACGTTGATGACAATGATAATAAGGATGATGAGGACGATGATGATGAAGATGATGATGATGAAGATGATGTGAACGATGATGAAGATGATGATGATAACGGTAAAGGTCACGGTCAGTTTTTACAATAAAAATTTAGACACCTTAGTTATAAATGATGATGATGATGATGATAAAAATGATGAGGATTTTTTTAATAAATAATATTGATGATGGACGTTAAAGATGCAATGCTTCCCCAATCAATTGACAACAATTCTTATGAAATTATTAACGGTAGTAGCTAAATTAACGTACAACCCTTAAAAAAATTTCTAGATAATTCATTTAATGAATTTTATTTGAAATCTGAAAATAATCAAGTACATTTTCAATATTATCTAATAAATGCTCAGATAAACGTAAGAATATGTAAGTTAGTAGACAAAAGTTTGATCAGCTGATTAAAAAAAACAATGAACAAAGAACAAGTTGAAGAAAAATTAATTTCTTAAAAAATATCTCGACGAATGTAAACATACTTAAAGTTCTACGTTCATCAAGGAACAGATAATGCAAGTCATTCAACGGTTTGGTGAACCGTCAGACAAATAAATTATGGAAACAAACAAACGAACGAACAAGTGAACGATTGAATGAACGTGCGAACGATTGAATGAACGAGCGAATGAATGAATGAATGTGTGAAAAACAAATGAACAAAAGAAAAAACGAAATGAAGCACGACTGAGTAGGTGATTCAGTAAAAAAATATTAATGAATATAAACGTGTGACTGAATTAATCATTAAAATGGAATTAATGTAAATTTTGTTCATTCATGTGCAGCGGAGAAACTTCTTACTCCCTGGTGCATGGATGAAACATTGGAATTGAACTACGTAACTAGATTTTGGTGGACAGCGTGCTAATCAAAAAAATTTCATACAACTTCTTGTTACTTCATTCTTTGGAATGGTTAATTAATGTTTTCAATCTAAAAACTAAAACACGATTAAATGATTAATTAATTGATTTAATTAAATTAAATAATTAATAAAGATATAGAGAGTACCTGTTAAGAAGATGTTGGTGCAGGGTGGATCTGGGCAGTACCTGCTGGCACACTCCAATGTTCGGACATCTGACCACCATCTGGTTCATCAAGCTGCACGTACAAATTAATAAATCATTAAAAAATTATTTTTCGTTACAATTGGTAATATTGAAACACCAATTTTTTTACCATAGACAAAAATTATGTAAAAATATCTGACAAAAAATAATCAAATCTTCAAATCTTCAAAAAAATCGTCAAGAAATAATTACATTTTCCATTTTTAGATGCACTTTCTGGTTACTTTTTCAGATGAAAAATACCTGCAAAAAAATTTTTCTACCTCTTCTGAATTGGTTCTCCTTACATCATTTTTTCTATTGAATAGGTTTTTTTCTATATAGATTGCTTATAATATTATTTTGTCTTTATCATTCTTCTTTCAGAGAGTTGGTCTCTAGGAGATTGCTCAAGAATAAATTTAAGCTCATTTCTCCGGAGGCAAGTCGCTCAAATTGATGTCTTTGAGGTGTCTGGCTCTATGTGCGCTCCAGAATATTTCTATCTTACTGTCCATCTCTTTTCTACATTTGCATGAGTGTGTGTGAGTTTGTTTGTTTGTGTGTGTGTGTGTGAGAGTTTGTTTGTGTGCGTGTTTGAGTAAGTATGTGTGTGAGCGTGCATTTGAGGCAAATCCACGTTGATTGTGTTGTATGTCTCCTTTTATCTGTCTGTGTTTGTGCGTTCGTGATTTTATTTGTGTGTGTGTGTGGGTGTGTGTGTTGTGTGTGTTTGTTGTTTATTCTCATGAGTTGTTATTATTGAACATTTTTACATGTTTGTTATAATTTGTTTCATGCACGTGAGTAACATTTGTATTGATTTCAGCTTTTAAATTTGATTGAATATCATTTTTATTTTATTTTATTACAGTTTTTATTTTTATCAAATCCAAATTGACGTTATCAGCATCATCAATCATTTTGTCCAAAAACGTCAAACACAAACACACACACATACACACCACACACATATACACACCACACGTACACACACACACACATACACACACACACACACACTTTCACACACACACACTTACATACAGTGACAACATCTATCCAATTATATTTGTCATGCACAATCCATTCTTTTATCACCACATAAATACATACTCAAGTAAGATATTTATACAAAGCGAACTACTACTTGTCTTACATCGCAAGCAATACAAGCGTCACTACGGAAATGTATGATTTGTAGTAAATTAACTTTTATTTTGTTTGATTTTCTTCTGGTTTATGAGACAAACATAGAATACAAGACAACCCAACTTATACATTTCAATAGTTGCACATCGCATTATTTCAATTTAAATGCAATTCTTGTTCTCAATAACTAAACGGAACAATAAACATGCGTTATTTGCACAAACACGTTTCAACAGAAGTAGTATGCTTATTAATTCATAATTGGTTTGCTAATTAAATCATACAGAACTTCTACTTCACACACATACAACATACTTTTAAATGCATATATATTGTACGTTATCCAGATATATACCATACGAGTGACTCAGTCAGATATACAAATACCCACCAATAGATCTATGATGCGTGTATGATTGATGTTGCTCTGATGTTACAATAACTTTATATCATACACACGTGCATACATTCACACACACACACACACACACACACACACATACACACACATTCATATACACACACTCGCACAACTCACACACACACACATACATACATACGCACGCACACACGTGTTTAAATAGATGTAGTAATTAGTTAATAACAAACGCAAACATGCATGTACATATGTCCATCAATCAATTTATTCATCTGTGCGAGAAATTTTAACATAGAAACAATACTTTAAAACAAAAAACTGGACATAAGTTCTTCCATAATGGATCTATACACACACACACACACCACACACACACAACACACACACATATATGCCAGTATATGTCTATGTCTGGACACACCTTTATAATTCTTCCACAAAACATACAGGGACTCGTACAGGAACGTGCAAAAATTTGAAAAATAGAAATGAATGTCTAGCAGATCAAATGTTATACTAATATTTTCAGTTCTTCACTCATTAGGCTGGTCTGACAAACACACCCTTCCACTTGGCAGCAGTTAAATTTTTGTGTTGATTTGGTGTTTTTTTTTGTGAAACCATTATATGCATGAAACTTAAAACGATGCATCTTTTGAGATTCAGACAGACAACATTTGAACCAGATCAGTTAGCGACGACGAGGACAGTGTATGTATTGGCGTTCCTACCGTCTGAGCTATCGTGCGAGTCAATTGAGCCAACCACGTGATCCTAAACACTGTACGTCACTTTCACATTAACAAGCAGAAAATGAAAACTTCCAGCCGGCCCTCTACACAAATATGTCGAACAATAAATTGAAATATGCACATGCAAATGAAGACACATAAAGAGACATGTCGTTGGCTCAACTACCTCAGTAAAATAAATGAAACAGTTGCTGATGCTACCACAACCACCACTGTCATAACTACTACAACAACTACTACTGCTAATATTACCAGTAGGATAACAACAACAGCCACTACTTTTACTTCAATTAAAACCTTTGTCTCCACTACAAAACTGATATTGTTTTTAGTGTTATAACTACTAACACTTAAAATACTACTACTACTACTACTACAACAAAAAACAATAACTACTACTGCTACAACAACTACAATTACTACTTTACTACTATTACTACTACTACCAGGAAAGCAGCAACAACAAAAAAGATGAGAAATGCATGGATAAAGGTTTCGGACAGGTTCTTCATATTGTTATGATCGAACGAGCGACATCAATCTTATTTCATGTACGCTTTCTTGTTCTCCATGTTGATTTGCATGGCTGCTTTTCTTAGCGCTTCCTGCAAGCAATTTTTCCCGGGTCGTTACGCTTCGACGGTTGGGGTTTGTTGTTGTTGGTGCTGCAGTTGTTGTTATTGCTGCTGCTGTTGATGTTGTTGTTATTTTTGTTGTAACTTTTGCCAATTGTGATTGTTGCCATAGTTGTGTTTTGGCTTATGTTTCTATTTGATTTGTTTGTTGTTGTTGTTGTAGTTGTTGTAATTATTGTTTGTTGTTGTTGTTTTTTCGATGTCATTCTTATTGAGACTGTTAAAAAGTCCTCAATAGCAATGGAGATGAAGGTAGGTGGTGATAACGATTTAATGATAATGCGATGATGCTGTTGTTAATGTGATGATGTTGTTGTTAATGTGATGATGTTGTTGTGTTTTGATGTGATGATGTGATAACGTTGTTGGCAATACTATTACGATAATGTTGCTAAGATGATGATGACGATGAATATGCTGGGAACGCAGTGATGATAGTAAATAATGATGATTCACATAGTGATAATGACTCGGTGATGATAGTGTTGATGATGATGACAATGATGATGTAGATGTTATGCAAGATGATTTCAGTGATTATGATCAATTATCGGTCCGAGCCAGTGATGCAAATAATTCAAATGATGTTGTTGATGATGATGATGATAGTAAGGATGATGATGATGAGGAGGAGGATGATGATGATAACGATAGATATCATATCATAATGATGTAATGATGTGTTGATAAGGACGTGGTTGATGACGATAACGATGAATATGACGATGGGGATGATGATGATAATGATAATGATGAAGATGATGATAGTGATTTCTGATTTGTAGACAAACCATGAAAATGAAATTGAAAATGATGACTATGAAAATGATGTTGCTTGTGATAATGATGATTATGAAAATGACATCTTTTTTGTTACTGGAGATGATGACGATGATGACGATGATGATGACGACGACGATAACATAGATGTTTAAACCGATTAGCAAAAGAACGCAAAATTTTTTCTTCCAGTCCGACCAGACCATTGATGTTTCAAATGCAAATTGCAACCTTTCAAAAAGTAATTAACCGATCCAAAGAAGATGCAAGAAGAAAATTTAACTGGAGAAATATTTTCTTTTGCTCTCCCATACATTTTTTAAATCTATTCGAACGACGTTTTACTTTATACCATTCGATGTTCTATTTAATGTTGAAGATGGCGATGATGGTAATGATGATGATGACGATATTTTAAAAAGATCTGTCGCAAGAGTTTTTGTCTCTCATTAATTAGTTGGTTGTTTGGACCATTCAATTACCTGCTAGATAGGCAATATCATATCGTCATTCTATATGATACATAATATCCTATCGTCACTTATATCATTCTATATGATACATAATATCCTATCGTCACTTATATCATTCTATATGATACACAATATCATATCGTCACTTATATCATTCTATATGATACACAATATCATATCGTCACTTATATCATTCTATATGATATACAACATCATATCGTCACTTATAACTTTTTGTGTTATTAATTATTTTAGCCTTTATGTGTTAAAGATGGAAAAACGTGGTTTAATGTTAGGTTACTGAAACATACAATTTACAAAAGCTTACAAAATAACACACACACGTAAACAAACACACACATAAACAAACACACACACACAAACAAACAAACACACATGCACACATCAATCTCGAACTATTCAACAACTCTTCTAAAAGTTACATACACAAGTGAACGATTATACATTTACTTATGTTTTCACCATACACCAGTCTCATACGTTTTGCAAAATTAACAAACAGTATATACAAACATGCCAGATAAGAGACAAAAACCTTCGCAACTAAATAACGACAAACAGGACAGAACAATGCACATTCTCATAAACAAACAGACCATAATATTTTATTGCATGGAAAAACAAGAGGAGAAGAAGAAGAGGAAGAAGAGAGAGAGAGAGAGAGAGCGATCGAAATTTCATTTGAGGAGACGGAGCAACTAGAAGCATCTGCTAATGAGGAATTAATTAGAAAACTAATGCGTGCTGTGTGCTCCTTTCTATATTGTCCTCCGCTCAATTGTTTAATGCATAGTTTATGTTTACTCACAACTGTTTATGAGGTGTTTGTATGTTTATTTATGTGGTTTTTATTATTATTCAAATGTTTGTTTGTGGTGTTTACAACTATTTGTTTTGTTCGTTCGTTTGTTTGCTCGTTTGTTCGTTTGATTGATAGTTTGTGTTTTTGTTTGTCTGTGTGTTTGTTTGTGTTTTTGTCTGCTTGTTTGTTTGTTTGTTTATGGGATGTTCGTGGATGCTTATGTTGATTACATTCTGACGCAATGATTTCAATCGATTTGATAACGTATACAATTATTTACGAAATAATTGCTTCGTCTATGCAATGTTAATAAGAATGTAAATAATGTTTATGATTGTTTAGACTGGTTACACTGGTCTCGGTTTAAGATTGAGATTTATTTATCTTTGTTGTTTGAATGTATGCACGTTGATTTACATTTATGTGTCCTTGCAAATGTCTGCCTGCTTGCCATCTTCTTTATGGCTCTGTAATTCTTTTACATTCATATCGTTTTTACCACTTTCAATTGTATTCCCAGTATTTTACATTTTTTTGTCTGTTTTATACCTCTGGTTGTTGCTCTTACATGTTCATAAATGCTGTTTATTGTTTACATTTGAGGGTTTGTGTAATGAACGGATGTTTGTTCTTTGCAACATAAATTGATGAAAATCAACGTTTTTTAAGTACTTACTTGTTAATCTTTATAGTTACAGCATACAAAGAATATTGTCATTAGGTTTCAAATTGTGGATACAATACACACATGGTATATATTTATTGTCTGTAAGCTCTCATATTACATGATGATTCCTTCATAAAAGTCTGATGGCCTAATAGCTAAAGTCACCTGGTACGCTTTGCAATCCGTGTAGCACTCGGTTCGAATCTGATCTGAAGACTCTCGCACATCATTTGTTTTGTGTTTGAGCGTCATTTAGATTCCTCTGAAGTTCAGTAGAATTTTACAGACCTTCTATCCTTTTTTGAATTTCTTTATTTTTCATTTATTTTGTTTACATAAATTTGTTTACATTTTACATTGACGCTTGAAATATTTTGATTTGGGTTTTTTGCTTTGATGACACCAGCATTTGTAACAAAAATAAATATTTTTTCCTTTTAAATGTACTTTACTTACTGTTGTTTAGTATTTATATTTTGTTTTTCCCGGCCGCAATACCAAAAATTATATATTTCAAAAATGGAGTTTGCGCTTGTTTGCTTACGTCATTATGGTTTTTTATTGTCTTTGCCGCCGGCTACACATTTCATTTTCCCATTTTTTCATTTTTTGTTTTTTTTCCATTTGCTATTTGTTTCATTTCCTTGTTTTTCCATATCTTTTTTGTTTTTAAATTTTGTTTTTTGGTTTTAGAATGCGTGGGCGTTCTTTTTTAATTTTTTTTAGTTTCTTAATCTGCAGTTACTCAAAATAAAAACATGAAAACCTTACTGAGGGTGTGCCCGTGGTGGTGGGGTGAAAATAATACCATGATGATGATGATGATGGTATGATGATGATGAAGAAGATGAAGATGATGAAGATGATGAAGAAGATGATGATGATGAAGAAGATGATGATGAAGATGACACGATGATGATGAAGAAGATGAAGGTAAAGAAGATGATGATGATGAATATGAAAAAAAGATGATCTCAACGATGATGACGACAATTGAAACGCTAAAAAACTGTTCATATATAAATTAAAAAATGAGAAAATAACGACAATATTGGTGATAATATGATGATTAGGATTATAATTTTTGATGTGATAATGATGATGAATCGGATGTGGAAAAAAATGAGGCAACTATGATAAATGCAACCAAGATGGGGAGCAAACATTAATCTGAATTATTTTTTTAACATTTTGGGCTTTAAGACCTGTGACGAGTATGAACATTTTTTAAGGTTATTAGTGAAAATATTATGCTGTTGGAGGTAGAAGATGGAGCTACATTAAATACTTCTTCGAAAAAGTTATATAAATAAGTATATGTGTGTTGTTTGTGTGTGTATGTGTGTGTTTGTATGTGATTAGAAAACTGGTAATATCAATAATGGCAATGGAGCTGACGTCATGTCAACACACACCGACCGACCACTGTTTGAGCGAGATACGCACACAAGCATCCACACGTACAATTCATTCCAACATCAGCTGTGCAATCTTCGACATACAAAAGTACAATTATCGATAAAATGACACACTGTACAAACATAAGGACACACACACATACAACTGCACATAGAAGCAAATACAAACGCACAAACTCAAATATTTGCATGCTTAAAACCGTTAAACCAGAACTTCAATACCTGCACAAGTTCGAGTCAACAAATACACATGCCATGCAAATTGAAACATTCAAAGTATAAAAATAATACGACCCATTGCAAATAAAAACTAAGTACACAAACAGGTACACATCTAAGTACACA